AAGAGGAGAATGGGATGTTAGCCCAGGGATTTGTCTAATAATCTTCCTGCTCCTGAAGGGTTGTGTAGTGAAAGTATTTTATGAGGTAGCTGTGCCTTCTTATTTTCTGGTCATTTTTCTGGACATGATTGATACTGCTGCAATCATTTTATGGCAAAGTGGCTTAAATAAGGCCGTGGTTGTCGGTGCCTGGCCAGCGTTTCCCCGGAGGGACTGCATTTTGATGGCTACAGCCTCTCACCGCTGCCCATCGGTCTGGTCTGTAAGAAGCTGTGTCTCGCCTTCACGCTTCAGTGACTGAGTACTTAGGATTCATCTCTGCAGCATCTGAAGGCCACAGCCTTGACCAAACGAATTACTGTGTGCACAGCTAGAATTGCATTTCGTTAACTTAAACTTGGTGTGCAAGGGAGGAAAGGAACATATTCTTTGTCTATTGTGTTTTTTAAGGGCATGGAGTTTCCATGTTGAAAGAAAAGTTATTTTGCGTAAGTCATGTTTGGATCCAATTAAACAACATCACAGAAAAACTTGTAGTCACAAGGTCGCTTGTATTTCTTTAATAATTAAGCCCTTCATCTGAGTTACAAGGATTTCCACACCATTTGTTTAGAGATCCCAATCCCTTGCAGGAAAGGAAAAGGAAGCAGTGAACAGCCAACTGCTGTTTCAGTTAACGCTGTTTTAAAATTAGGCCTTTCAGAGGAATTATGTTAGAGGTAGAATTAATTCCAGTCAGAATGTCTTCAAGGCACTCTAACTGCTTTTAAAATACTGTGGTATCTAGGAAAGACATGTTTATTCAGCTGAACTAATTAATTTCCCCTCTTCTTCTGACATTTAAAATGTTTTATGTAGGTTAATTAGTCTAATTTATGGTAGTTGGGAGCAAGTCTTATATGAAACCAGTGAATGTCAGGACAGTTCGCAGCCACAAGTTACTGATTTTGAAGAGTTTGTGCTTGAGGAGAACATGAAGATGCTGGGGTCTTATGTAATATGACGACACTGGTTTAAAAAAAATAAAATATCTTGGCTCGTGTAGTTTAAACATCTTTACTATAGGAAACAGCGTGTTGTTTATAATTAAAGTTACAGAGCTTTAATGTAGAAAATATCTGCAGGTCAGTTTATTGTGTGTAATAGTTCTGGCTGTAAAATGTCTTGTTAAGATTTTTTCTTTTTTATTAAACAATGCTTTAGTCATCAGAGTCTTAAAATGGACTCTAAATATTTATGCAGCACAAAGGAAAGTTCCTCACAGCTCTTGAGGAGCAATTCCAGAGGAGCCCTTGCCAGAGAGTCCCAGGAGAAACTGCACTTGGTCCTGATAAACAGCGATGAGGGCTTCCCCCCCAGCTGCACAGCGGGGGCTGCTCTGACACTGGGGCGCAGTCGCTTTCAATTTGTCGTTGCTCAACTGATGTTTTGAGAAACGGAGCTCTTTGCCGTGTTGGAACTATCTCGTAGTAAAGAAACACGGATGGACCTTTCTGGATTTGCCATTACGTTGCAGTATGCTTTGGGTACTGGGGAGTCGTTAATCATGGAGTGAGGCAGGCAAAAACTTGATTCGGTCGTATCATCAGATGTACTGGGTTTTTTACTGAGTTATGTGATCATTGTAATGTTTAGGCTGAGCTTGAGCCCTGTGCTTTCCTTCTGTCCTGAGTGTGTGGGAAGAGCAGTATTATCTTTGTGGGTCAGTCCTAGGTTGCCTAGGTTTGGGGTTTTTTTTCATCTTGGTGCTTTAAGTGTTTAGCGTTTGTAAGCTTCTCTGAGTTTGTCTCATTTGCAAGGAAAAAAATGCAGAGACCAATACGTAAATGTGGGATTGAGATCAACTCCACTTAATCCTGGGAGGGTTGTTTTAACTGTCCGAAGTGTCTGAAGAGAGAAGGAGTTGTGGGAGCAGGGTTCTGAGGTTTTTACTGAACTGCATTTGCTTCGGTAGCCCCAGCTCTCAAAATAGGTGTGCCTTACTGACGCGATGGAGAGAGGGGGGTGGTCTGGCTGGGCTCAGCGGTTCCCTCTCCCACCCGGTATGAATCAGTGAAGTGGATTAAAAACTGCACGTGCAACACAGTTCGTCCTTACACCCTGGTGCTGCTCTGGATGGAGAAGCAAAGCCTGTGTCAGTCAAATGTTGACTCCTGGATTTTGATCTTTCTCGGGCCATAAATTTCAATGCTCACTAAATAGGATTGGATAGTTTGATAATTGTTGGACTTTGGGGTTGATTCATATCTGTTATCCCTCTGCTTACGTAAAGTCACATTTTTCTGACTTGGTCATAGTCTTCAGCGATATCACAGAATGTCCACCTGACCGGGGTGGTGCTTAGCTGCGGTAAGCGTGTTCATGCAGAGGAGAGCTTGGAGAGCTGCCACGCGGCTTTGCTGTGGGCGCTTGAAGCCGGCGTGTTTAGTTTACTGAATGCACAGCCTGCAAGAGAATCATTCTGAATGATCACAAACTTGGGGGCTTTTTGCTGTAGTAAAAGTTGTTGAATTTGCTCCCCTCGCCGGGGAGGGGGACGTGCTGCATGTGCAGCCTTGCTCTGAAAGGAAAGGATTTGCTGCGTTAAAATGTCTTGTGCAAAGAGGCTGGCAGCCAGCTCTCGCCCTGGCATTGCGGAGAACTGGGCCAAGGTTTGAATGAATCATGAGGGAGTTTCGAGAAATCTGCTTTATTTTTCGTGATAAACCTGCCAAAATCCTTCAGGGGGAATGCAGTTGATGGTAACATTGCAGCCTTGTCGGGGGGTTAACTTTATGCCTCTAGTGCTGCTTGCGTCGCATCTAGAAAGAACTGACAGATAACGAACTGCATCATCTGCAATTAATCCTACTGAGTTTTGAAAGGGATCAGCTTTGAATGAAGCTGTTGAAGTAAACTTTGTTTCATTACAGGGCTCATGCAATTAAACTTGTATTGATTGTCATGCCCTTATCATATTGTTGGCTGATGATTTTGTTTGCTTTGGATGTTTTGCATCTTATGATAAGCTAAAAATGGATGTTTGGATACATCGCTTCCGTCCTTAGTTGATTAACGGGCTGGAGGTCTCGTCTGTGTGCTCTGCACGGTGCAAGGCGTAATTCAGTGCTTAGCAAGAAATAAGCCCTGGTAAATCCACTGTGTCTGACATCCAGCGCCCGGCTTCTGCTCAGTTCCTCGTGGGCTGTGCAACACTAGAAGAAAGGGGCTGATTTTCCTCCGGGAGGAATCCTACACAGAAATAGAGCTGGCAGCCTTCGGCCCCCTCCCAGCCCGGTATAGGTCAGAGGTGTGCTGGGGACACTCTCCGCCTGGCAGAAAGCTGAGGGGCTTGAACTTCGGGGGATCTTTGTGTAAAGCTAGTGAAGCGGAGCGGGGCCTGGATGCGACGGGGAGCTGTAGGAGTGCAGTCAGCAGGGTGGCGGGGGGGGAGGAACGGTGTCTGGGTGCGAGTTAGGGGCTGGGATACGAAGCCAGAAATTATGGCAGCGTGAGGGTTTAGGTGTCTGTTAACAGAAGGGACGTCTTTGCTTCTGAAGCTGTCTCTGACTTAGAGCCAGCTTCCATTTTATGCCACTGTTGACTGCTCTCTTGCCTGAATTTTTTAGTATCCAAAACTCCTATGTTGTTTTTGTTTTTTTTTAAGGGGGGGGAAAGTCAATCAAGCCAACCATGTCACGTTACCTTCCAGGCCGGTTTTTCCCCCAATGTGACAAAAACCTCTGCCTAGTCTAGCCAACGGTTCCTTGGGACCTTTCCGTGATTGTGATAGTTTGGTGCCGGTGTTAGCGCTGCAGCCCCGGAGGGGATGCGCTTGTACGTTGGCTGCTGGGCTACCGCACAAACTAGTGACCCGCTTGCTTTCTGGCTCTGTGGCCGAGCGCTGCGTCATGCGCCAGCCCTTTCACCTCTCGCTTGCCTGTCTTGTTCTGTCTCTTTGAAGGGCGGGAGGTAGGGACTGTGTTTGCCCGTCGTTCTTAAACGCAGAGTTGGAAGTGCTGTGTAAACACAGAGGGCATTGAGCAACCACCGAGTACTGACAGCTTTGGGTCACTGCTGACTTGGGCTGAATTCAGCCCTACGACCTAGACGCAAGAGGCCGCATATCCTATTACTGAACCCTTCAGCCATCTTGTCACTCATCTAGAATTACATGAGACGTACAAGGGTGAAGTGGAGTTTGGGGCATTTTAGTTTTCATATGTACGTTTTGAGAAGTTCTCTCACTGCTCTAACTTGCATGTTCTGGTAAGACAGACTGTGGGCTGACATGCTGTTTTTTTTCCTTTTTAGTTTGCAGTGTTGATGTGGGTATTCACTTATGTTGGTGCCTTGTTTAATGGTCTGACATTACTGATTCTGGGTAAGTGTTTTAAATAAATACCTGGCATACAAAATAACCCTGGACAAGCACTGAAGTCTGCTCGATTCTGTGAGGCTGTTCCTGTGTTCTTGAGAGGATAGCAAGATGTTACACTTTCGTGTCCTTTTCTAGGACGTGGATAACACTGCAGAAGAGATCATTTTGAATTGCGTTGTTGAATTCCCTGTGATTGCTGATCTGCCAGAGGTACCATTTAAAAGCACATTCTGTTGTGCTTGTCCCTGGCGGGGTTAGCCTCACCTGAATATCCTCGCTGTAGTGTGACTTTGCAGGAGGTACAAAATTGGCTGTGGCCATGTCCTACTGCAGATAAGTTTTATTTCTCGTATCCCTGAGCAGGCTGGCTTCAGGTGTCAGAAACTGGCTGATGTTGGCAGAAGCCTAAGCATCCTTTTTGAAGAATTTGCATAACCCCCAGTGAAAAAGAGCTGTGACCAGAGTTACTGTACTGTTAATGAGACCTGGAGAACAGCCCAGCTTCTCCTTAATAGGGATTATTTAAATTACTGGCCAACAATTTTTGTATGTATGTGGCTTGCTTTTAGTCATTTCTTTTTATTGTACCTCTTTGACAGAAATGCAAAGGCGTGGAAACTAGTCTTTGTTTTACCTGAACACCAGCCCTTTTGTCAGTATTTATACCTTTGATGTGCTCTTTTCCAGCTTTGATTTCGCTCTTCAGTGTTCCTGTTATTTATGAGAGACATCAGGTGAGTGTTTAATATGATTCATTAAATGTTTCATAAAATGACCTCTGCTGAAGCAAAACCACAAGTGAATAAAACCAAAATTCATTTCAATCTTCTAAAATCTTTAACGCCTTTAACCAGGAGGCAGTGCCAAGAAAATCAGGTTCACTCTGAAGTCCGGACTGCGTGTGCTTTTCTCCCCCCCCTCCTTTTTGGTGGAAGTATAAAGATGGCTTCCCTGGCAAACAGTTAGGAAAAGGGCCTGATTAACCTGCAGGCCTTCTCTCCTCTGATCCCGATTTGGTCAGGACTAAAGCAGCAGTAGGCACTGTGCACTAATCCTGATGGAAGTCAGTACTTCTAAAACAATTTCTGAAGAAACCTCTTTGGAGCCGATGCTACTCAGGATTTGTGTGCTGAAGCCATGTGGCATTTGTAGCCCTGGCAAAATAAGGAGGTGGGAGATGCTTGGCACAGTCTGGTCCTTCTCCTGGGGACAGATGAATGCAAAAGAAAGAGGTAAGAAGGACCCCAAATAAACCGCCTATGATTAAATTATAGCTGAGCCTGAGCAGGGACTGTCTTCAGCAGGTCATAGCACAGGAGGGGGGCAGCCAGCTCTGGCTTAGCCGTTCCTTCTCCTCTTTCAAAAACAACGCTGCTCATGGAGGCCAGCCTGGGACTGACTTAGGAAGGGAGGGAGAAAGGCACGGAGCAGATGGCGGAGCCTCTTGGGCTCCTCTCCGAGCTCCTGGGAAAGAACAAGGTAGGCTGCAGTGAAAGGAAAGCCTGCAGCCTGAGGAAAGACGATGGACAATTTAGCCTGGGCGCCTCAATCCGCTTGAGGAGCTGAAGGCTGCTCTCCGAAGGCGTAAGCTGTTTAACAGGCCCAGCCCCCCCAAGCAGCTTTCCTGCTCCACGGTGCCCTGAGGAGCTGACGGCTCCTCGCTGAGGGCCCCGGTTGGGCACCCCTGTGTTGGAGCAGCCTTGAGAAGGGGAGGGGGGGAAATGCTAGAACCTGGTTTGATGGACCGTGTAGAAGCCAGAGGTGAATTTATTTGGGTACCGACCCACTATTCGCTGCTGTTATGTGTGTTCCTGGAGGCAACCACTCACATGTGCCATCGCTGAAGCTGCAGGAGCTCTGGCATCAAACTGGGAGCACCAGAGGGTTGAGCCCCTTCCCTCCGTCAGCAGTCTGCAGTGTAAAGCACGTCTTGATGCGGCGTGACGCCGCCTTCCGCGCAGCACAGCAACTGCGTGTAAGAGCTGGTCTGTAACATCTGTCGTCTTCCATTTCAGGCCCAAATTGACCATTATTTGGGACTCGTGAACAAGAATGTCAAAGATGCAATGGCCAAGTGAGTAGGACTGGTTTGGGTATTTTTTTTTTTTTTAAAATACTACTTCACTTTATAAATAATGTTTACAGTTCTTGGTACCTATGGTACTCCTGTATATAACAACAAATGCATTACATGCACTAGTCCAGGGAGGAAAAAGTCCTTTGTTTAAATTGGGAATGGTTATGAAATCAGCGCCCTTCTTGCTGATGCTGTTAAGTTAGTAAGTTAATCCTGTATTATTTCGAACAGAAATCTGTGTATTTGAACCCATTAGTGGAACCTGAGGCCCTCAGCAGTTGCAACAGAGGGGGTGAATGAATAAGAATTTAGCCGTTTCTGAGCGTAATAGTTGTTTTGTGTTGCCATGATAATGATCTTCACATGTTGCTGTTTTTAAGACTATGTTTACCCCTACCTTTCTTGGTTGGTGTTGGTTACTCAAATGCTGCTCTTTTTCCTCTCCTGTTCCTCTTGTAGGATCCAAGCAAAGATCCCTGGGTTGAAGCGCAAAACTGAATAAAAAGCCTGAAGCAACTTATCGATAGGAAGTTCGTCTTTAAGGGGGGAAAAAATACTTACTTGGATTGACATGGGGAGGGTCAGGGAATAGCAACGCCCTTGACATCGCAGTGCAATTTCACAGATCTTTATTTTTTAGCAACGCAGTGTTTGAGGAAAAAATAACTGTTTTGACTGCCATGTGTTTCATCATCTTAAGTATTGTAAGCTGCTATGTATGGATCTAAAACTAATCATCTTTCTTTATCCTGTGTGCAGCACTGGCTAATACAAAAGATTTGCGAAAGCTGTACATTTTGCTTCATCAGAGGTAGTCCCTGCTGCGTTCCGGAGGAGGTAGTGCAGGTGGAGCGGAGGATAACACTTCCCAGTTTGTGCACTGTGTATGGTCTGTGTAGATTGATGCAGATTTTCTAAAATGAGATGTTCTAGAAGAATATACCATTTTAGCAAGTTTTGAAAAATCTTGCCTTTTTGGTATGAGTATAGCTGTATCGTGATTTTATTGTTTTATCAATTGCCTATATATATATATGTGTGTTTCACAAAGCTTAGATCTTTCAGCTGCTCCACAGTGCTTCATACTTCAGAGGATTGACTGAGTTCTGGACTAGCTCCATAGCACACAAGCTTGAAAAACTAAAATGTCTCTGTAAACACTAGCATCTGTTTAAAAAAAACCAACCAAACAAAAGAGAAATGAACAAAGGAACTGCCACATATATTAAAAGAAACTACAGCATACACTTTGTTGCACGGACGTACGGTAGATGATTTTGAGCAAATAATTCTACAGTCTCTCAAACTCTGATAATCTGTGGACCGAATATCTACTGCTGCAAAATGTTGTTTGGAAACTTAAAACCTTGTTATGCAAGAAATGATAAGTGAAAATTTATACACTTGCAGTTTAAGCTGTATTGAACTAAGTCTGTGGAATGCATTGTGAAATGTAAAAAAAAAAAAACCAAAACAACAAAAAAAGCAAAAAAAAAAAACCCCAACAAAAACCCCAAGTATCAATAAAGCTTATAGACATAAAATAATATCGGTATTTTGCTTTCTTGAGGCAAGTTTAATATATTTGTGTTTATTTTGTTTAAGTTCATCGTGATTAAATATCCATTGTACATGGTGGTGGAAATAGTTTGTCGGACGTGTAGCAATGTGAGTAGACGGATTTTTCATGATACCTTTTCACCTGTGCAGTGTGAAGCAGTTTGTTCAGTTCCAGTTACAGATTTGACGTCCCCAATAGCTGTGCGTGTCGGCCGGCCGGTGATGCTCAGTTCGGCGCGTAGTTCGTGTAGCACAGATTTCTGCCCGCAGGGAGGAGGCCTCCGCGCTGAATCCTGAAGGCCCCCGTTGTTACCGCTGCCAGCTGTGCCGACGGCGCAGTGACACGGGGGTGACGGTGTCAGACGCCACTTAAGTGTTGTGAGGTGGTTATTGAAAATTGTGAAAGATGGAAGCTTAGATTCTGCTAAACGAAGCGAAGATCCTTGGTTTCTTTCATTTTTGAGACAATAATGTATGATGCCATATTCTAATTTGAAGGAAACTCTAAAGCAAATGCCAATAATCTTTTCAGATCAACTTGTTGAATCTGATTTAAGAGCTGGACATTGAAAACTTGTATCCAAATTTATTTGAGACACAGATTTTAAATTAATGGCATCTTGACCATTAAAAAATAAATTCATGCACTAATATTTTACTTTACAGTATGATACATCATTACTCCTGAATACATAAATATACATAAAGCCAAACTATACAAACATACAAATTTTAAGTGTTTTCCTGACAGACACTATTGCTTTAAGATATTTTTCACATCACCATTGATTAATTCATTCTGCCACACAACTGGTTTTATTTGGGATACAATCAATGTGAAAGGAAGGCAAACATTATTACAACATAGGCAAAGAAGGCGCTCACTGACATCACCACCTAACATCGTTACATTATTTGATCAAGAAGGTTTCTTTAAAAAAAAAAGACTGCATAGGGACTCTTATTGTGTATCTGACAAACTGATCTTCTGTATAGTAATATAAGGCATTAATAAATTAAATTTTAAAAAAAGGTGATTCTTTGAGGTTGCTGAAGCACTTTTGTGTGTTAAATGTACGTTGATCCACTCCTTTATTTGTTGCATCCAACAGCTGCCTTTTTCTGCAGTGGGCATCAGAAGTGGAGTGGCAGGGAGTGTCCACAGTTCACAATTATATTTTCCTGCACAGGGACTAAAGCGCTATTTAACATTTCCTTTCAAAGACTAAATGCAAGTCTGAATGTTTTATTTTGGCCTTTATTTCTTTTGATTAACAAACAGTCTTTTTAAAAGCAAGGTAATTTCAAAATATGGATGTTATTCCATGCCAGAAATCACAGAAATTTTTTGTTTTGACATTGCCCACATTTCCTGTTCCTTTCTAAACAAACAGTTTCACTGGAAAAAGTTGAACTTGCTTTTCTTTCTCCAATTCCACTGTCCCTGTATTTTTTGGTTTTGACAAAATGTTTGTTAAATGAGCGGCTTTACTTGCCTTTTGTGAACGTCTGCTCCTGGTGTCCACTTCCACCTGGAGCCACCTCTCCTTTCATCTCAGCTGCCTCCTGCCCCACGCTCCCCCAGCCCCGTCACGGACGAGGGGGCTGCATGAGGCGCAAGAGAAGCGGTGATGGGAAGAAGAGTCCAAATGCAGCAAAGATGATGCTTGTCTCGAGGATAGGTAAATTTTCTGGTATCATCAGAGTGATTTGTGGTTTACTGGTAAGCAGCACGGGCCTAGCTGCCTGCTGGAGGGTAGGGGCAGTCCCTGCTAGTGATGGGCCAGGCGCTGCTTTGGCAGGCAGCCCCCCCCCCGAATGGGAAACAGCGGCTCTTGGAGGCTTTCAAACCACTTCTTAAATACGCCGGATGGCCACTGCCTGGGGAAGCAGTTACCTAAAAAGCACATTTTCCCACAAACAAGGAGAGTGCAGGAACACTTGGGGAACAACTTCCTCAATATTTGTGTTAAAATTCCTTTAACCACGTCTCTCCCTACTCTCTCTCCCCCTCTACTCACCATTTGAATTCAGCTTCAAATTCTGGCTGCAGTCGAGCTACCATCACACGCCAATTGTGAACAGCTTATCGAGAGGTGTAATGCCATCAGGACTTTGTCCTTAGAACAGCGCATAGCTTCGTGCTGTTGGAAACAGTTTGGAATTCACTTGTGAAGGTATTAAAAAACCAAAGCAGAAAACAGGGATAATGTAAGTACGTACACAGCTGGAAAAGGTGTTAATGGTTAGCCCTCCTCTGTGTTGAAGTTATAGCACCGTATGTTGAAAGCAATTGGTGGGAGGCAAGACTGTAGCCCATACTACTAGAAAATTATTCAAAGGCACTTCATGGATAAAAAATTTTGCCAAATATATATATTCCAAAATAAAATGGACTTAAAAAAAAGATAACTTTGCTCCTTCCATTATTGAAAGCTGAAGTGTGACCCCCCCCAGCATGCTCATTAAAAGCTTGCAGTTTTACTCAGTGCACCAAATTTGAGTTTTAAGCAGGTATGGTTAAACCCACCAACTTTCTTGAACAAATGTTCAAGCCATAAATTTTGAAATTACACAAATGAAAGGGCCCAACGTTTTCTCAGCGTGCTCCCTTTTCAGACATGGTTTGAATAACACAGTATTAGGCAAAAGCAGCTTCGTGCGTGAACTGTTCATCACTTTGGCCTACCCAGGTTACAAAAGGATTCCCTTTCAAACTTCAGCTTCCTTCTCAAGGATATTGGTCTTTCAAATGCAAGATCACATTCACATTCAGCAAATTCGTGTGAGTAATCTGAAAACGTGTAATCCGTGCAGCATCGTATGGAAATTACAGCAGCCGAAGGGGTAGAGGCATTCATGGCTGTCCAGTCCAGAGCAGTCACTTGGTGGTGGCAGTCACAGCAGCAAGAAGAGTTTCCTTTCAAAGACATCGCCATACAAATACACTACAAAGAAATTATTTGAAAGCATAGGTTTGTTTTTCCCCACGTCACTTGATGACAACCGTCAGCATATCATACCAAGAGAGACAGGCTGCCTCAATACAGACGTGGCCATAAATGTAGAGGTACCAGCAAAGCGCCAGGTAAAGCACCATTCAGCCCTGGAGTTACTCCACAAATGCCGGCACTCGGAGGCCCTTTTCTCAGGAGAGAGTTAAAGCATTGTCACAAACTACTGCGTGTGTGTTTTAGTGAAGGCCTGGAGGTTGGAAATGCTATTATTTCACTCAGCGTTTGAATCAAGAAATCCTCATCATAACTATAATGTCAAAACGAAGGCAGCTGATACGCTTTTCTGAGTTTATGTAACTTCTAGCCCGCAGCGTGAGACCCGAGGTAAATGCAGCCTTTGTTCCTATGCAGCTGCTTTGTGATCTGACAGAGCTCCCTGCTCTCCCACTGTGCAACCCCTTTTTTGGAAAAAAAAAACCACACAACCCCACACTTACTTTCGTAAGTGGAAAATGAAAAGATCTCTTTGGCGGGGGTGGGGGGTTCTTTATTTCCAGCATGGTTGCACAAAAGGTTGTGAATGCTAAGTTTGAAGAACAGCTCACCTCACGCGGCGAGAGGAGAGTTAAATTGGCTGCAGGGTGTTGAACAAACCGAAGGTAAGAGCAGTAGCTATGCTGCAGGCACTGCGGGCTTACTGAGGGGAGCCTAGTGTCATGAAACATACAGCAGTATTTCGTTTTCTGCTGCTGGAAAAGATGCGCGCTCTCATTCACTGGCAAAAATGACTCAATCCTGCAGTCTCCAGCTTGTATTTTTCCTGCCGAGTAAGCAGTTATAAATACCTGGTTCTTGACTGCGGCTTCTTGATACTTGCTCCTGTGAGAATTTGTGCCCTTTCGTTTCCTACCTTGTTGCTTTTCAGTTTTTCCAGTTCTGTTTAAAAAGGCTCCTGCAGTTTGTGTTTAGCCACGTTTAGTTTTTATTCCTCACCTTTCTTCTTCCTGTTTTGCTTCCCAGCAGTGTCCTCTCTGGGCGGTACTGGGAGCTCAGACAGACTTGGGGCGTTGGGGAGGAGGGGGATCGGGCAGGAGTCACACGTGTGTGCACGCACACACGCTGCCTGTCCTTTGAAAAAAAACCCAAACCAAATCACCCCAACACAAACTTCAGGCGCCTTTTGAGAAGCCTCCTGTTATTTGAAATGTCCTTCTCAATCTGCCTGTCCTCCTGTTGGGCTGGAATTCCTGTCCTACCCTTTGCTGGGCCGGAGCTATTCAGTTATTTTTGTGTGACTGACACCCCCACCAGCTGTCTTTGATCTAAATGTTCTTCAGACACACGAGCGGTTCCTGTGCCAGCGGCTGGGGCTCCTTCAGCTGCCTCTTGGCGCCCAAAGCCCCACAGGTCGGTGCTGGCCCACGCCACAACAGGTATGGTCTGCCTCGTCTGCCCTCTCGCAGGGAGGAAGGCAAGCCAAGGAGCTACAAGCCGATGCCTGATCAACACAGACACCCAAATGCAAGACGTTTCACCCAGTAGAGATGACCTTGTGAACAGCACCAGTGTGGCAAGGAGCGAATCGGGTGCAAGTGACCTTAAAATACAGCAATTCCAGAGTAAGAAAAACAAGCGAAAACTGTCACACATCAGCAGGCTTCGCTGACCACAAAGGTGTTAAATGCCTTGCTGTGGGTTTGGCATAGAAGAAATTTTTGATCGTTGTAAAAATAAATAAGCAGTTACCTGCAGTCATCTCCTCCTGTACTTATAACGTACTTGTCATCGTGAGAAAAGCGTATGTTGGTGACATGCGCAGAGTGCCCAAAATACCGCTTGTGTTTGGCCTATTGGAAAAAGAACAGAAGTTCAGGAATTCGTACAGTAGCGTGACATTGCAGAGTGACAAAGTTGCCTTGTGAGCACAGACAAAATCACGTCCCCAGCAGTGGCGGTGCCTGCGAGCCCACAGTCATCGCAACTCAGCACCTCATTCCGTGTGTCGCGTCCTCCCCGGTTGCTG